GTTACCTTTACAGAGGGAGAATGCTGAGAGTAAGAGAAAGTTTCGTACCACTCCTTATAATGCTCTTCTTACATAAGTCATTAATGTGCTTGTTTGTCTTATTTTAATACCCTAAGAAGAAGGTGATTATCAAATGAAATAGAATGGAAAGATATAAGTCATTAAAAAAAAAAAAAAGAAAGAAAAAAGGAACACTTATTTCTTACATAACATATAATTAACCTATGAAGTTCTCTGCCAAGCTATAGTAGTGAGGTCAAAACCAGAACAGAATTCAAAAATGATTAGAAATACATTTGCATAATGAGCAAATCCGCAATTATATTGTAGGATTTTCTGTAGGTTTGAAAGATCTCTGGGAGTATTGCCAGCTCGTACCTGGTTGTGAAAGGCTAAAGTAGAGAACTGCATTATAAACAGGTTGTATAATTATCTGGCATTACTTGCATTTAAGCATAATGTAAGCTTGGCTTAACTTCTTTGAATTGCCCTTTGAGAGTGCATCTCTTTCTACCAGCTACAGAAGGAGCCTGAGGAGATGAGCCTGGGAGAGCCAGCACTAGGCACTGAATAACCACCTCCTGCCCAGCGTGAGGAGTCTCGACAGCCATTTTCCCCTGCTTTTGTAATAACTTGCACTACGAAAGAAATTAATTGCATCCACTAATTGTTAAGGAAGACTGAGTATTTCTGTTTTGAATCGGGACTGGGTCAAATAAGTACCGTGCATCCCAGTGCTTCACGTGCTTCTGCAAGCACGTTTTTAAGACATTTTGTTCGTTCTCTGTAGATTGGGTAATTCTGATGGATTTAAGATAGAGTATCACGTAAACCCACGGTTCCTTACATTCATGTTAAATGTGATTTTTATGTGGGAAAGAAAGGGTATTAATTTTGTTCTTCAGAATAACTATAATCTCCTGAGCGGTAAAACCCTGTTAATTCTCAGGCAGCTAATCCTCAAATAATAATTCACTTAGTCTGACTTCACAACAAAAATAACTGCTTAAGTGCGAATGATTGCAACGTAGGCTCTGTTTGGCCTATAAAAGGTACCTAAAATGCAAATGTATGGATAGCTGGAAATCGTATAGCAACTTTTTCACTGCCCTCAAAAAGTCGCAATCAGGCGTTTAAAAGAAAAGGGGCAAATGTTTCAAAAGCACTGGAGCTAGAAGTTCATGAAAACTCGTAACAGAAACAAAGCTGGGCAGAAGAAAACTATAGCCAGGAATGAAATAGGATAAGCACACAAAAAAACATGAAGGCTTAATATGACTGCACAGAGCTCTTAGGATAGTCAATACAGAGGCAAAAGAGCTCAATAAATATTTTTGTTCTGTGCTTGGGAAAAAGGCAGATAGCACGTTCACATCGTGGGGTGTACGATAAGGCGCTCTCTGTTCTCACAGTAATCAAGGAGGACACTGAACAGTACTCAGACTTGAATTTGGTGTTTTTAAGTCGGAGGCCTGGATAACAGATGGCCGTGAGCTGTGGAAGAGCAGGTCGGAGAGCTGTTGTTGATCGTGTGTTTGGGTTTTGGTAGTTCTGGGAAAACGAAGAAAGTTGCAGAGGACTTGAAAAATGCTATGGGACTGCCTACTTCCAGGGGAATAAACAGGCTGAGGCCTGTAAATGTGATGCTGGCGGTCTGACGTGAGGCCTGAGGGAAGTGATAAAGTCACTGAGGTGATTCGTTAAAGAAATTGAAAGGATTGATGATAATGAGTCCTGGTTCATGGAAAATAAGTACTATCATGCTAACTTGAGAATATTCTCGGTGTAGTTGAGTGTCGTTGATGGACTGCTGTGGAGGAGACTGGGTCACCCTGTGCTTGTGGGAAAGTGGCTCTGGTGGTTGTTTATTCAAGAGGTCAGTTAATCACCTACAGTCCGGCCACCTATTCCATCTACTGCTGTTGGTGTCGTTCATAAATGACATAATTCGAGTTTGGTCCGTGGGGTGGAGCAGTTCCACAACTTGTTGCTTTTTCCTGTCAAGTAAATGGGAGTGAGCTGGGAGCTGCAGCCTGGGCTCCAGGCAGTGCTGTGGGTCGGTCACGGCCCTGCCTCTCTCCTTGCCTTGGCCAGGCTGACAGCTTCTCTGGGCTTCCGTGGGTCCGAGGGGGTGTTCGGCAGCCCCTACAGCCTGTGAAAAGCCAGTTTGAGTGAATGAATGAAACCTGTCCTTCTAGTCATTCTTCCACAATTCATCATGGCATTGTAGGCAACTACTTGGACATATAATTTCTTCGGGCCTAAATCAGGCTTGGTTTTAATTAAGCATTGCATCTGCTGCCTCATTCAGCCCATACGAAATCCTGTCACAAAAATAAGCTCTTGTGACAGAGAGGTGTGAGATTTTCTTTACAGTTGCTGTGGTCAAAAAGGACCTTTCACTGGACTGGCTGCGGTTCTCTATTTTCATCGCTGGAGATGCTCAGCAAATAGCCAGACTATTCCCTTTCAGGTGCCACTCTCAAGTCTTACTTAGTATTTCTGGGGAGGTTTGTTTGTTTGTTTTAGTAATTTCCATCGCTCTGTTTTGCACACTGGATAATGCTTTAATAGTTCTCCTGTATTGCTATTAATAGTAAGTTACTGTGATTGATGGTCAAAAAAAGAATGGTGAAACTGGTCTGCTAAAGACAGCTTCAAAGATTCTGCCCATCTGCATCCTGTGCCCCTTGAATTACAGGTGTTTTCCTGTCTTGGCTTTTTTTCTTTGGCCCTTTTCCTCTTGAAATTTCCATACAGGGTTTTAGTAACTTAATAGCAAAGTTCAGAGTCACTTGCTGTAGTATTAGCTTAAAGTATTGATTTTGAGATACCTCTGTTCACCTGATTTTTATTTTTTTTTCAATTTGTACTACTGTCTGGTTTCTTCTGTATCTCTTTTGCCTTTTCAAATGTGTAATTCCTCCATTCAGCACTTTTTCCTCTCTCTCATGTCTCTCTTCTCTGAAGACCCCACATACCCTGGCTTTACTGAGTTTTTGCTCTGGGTTAATTAACTTCTTGTGCCTCCAGAAGCTTAAATCACACCAATTTTGAGCACTCTCATTTTTCTTCAGGTTTGGTCCTCCTCACATCAGAAAGTTCCTGAGAACTATTGTTCAATTTAAACGATTTTTTTTCCATCATTCTGTTGGATTTTAATGCTGTGGATTTGCTTTTCCTGGTTTTGTTGTTTAGTTTGATAATGCAAAGATTAAAAAACAGGTTTAGAAGCAACTAGTTATTCTGGTTTAACCTTGTGCGTATATTCGTGATTCTCAGACTCACGCAGCCGTGGTCAATAAGTTTCTTTGGGTAGAGGTGATTTTATATTGCCATGTTTCTAAGTTGTTTTCTGGGTGATTTTGTTGGTGGGGAGGCAGTAGCATCTTCACAAGAACTACCTCAGACATCAGGCATAGGTCAGTGAGCTTGTATCAAGTTGGATGATGCTTCATCAGAGCGTCTGCATTGCTCTTGCAGTTTCTTTGAGGTTGCAATCTATTTTGGCATTGGACTCACCTAGCACAAGGAATAAGCTGTGTTTGGTATTTTGACAGGCCTTCTTTGGAGACTGTTGTTAAGTCTGTCTTTGTCTGTATTGCTCTGATCTTCTGTCAGAGGATAGAAGTGTGTGAGATAGAAATCTGGCAGAAGTTTTGAATTGTTGCTTGTCATGATGAGCACCAGTTTCTTGGGATGCTCGTCTTTGCTGCAGCCTGAGGTGGGTGAGATGTTTGCTTTTTTACTTTTAAGTGTTTGTTTTAACAGTCAGTCTGTTCTGATCTTAAGCCCAAAGTCCAACAGCCATTGTTTTTGGTAGCTTGATTTGAAATCATACACGCCAGCATTAACCTCTAGGATGTTTCTCAGCACTATTATCACAGTTTCGATGTTTGTGACAAGCTTTATTGCGAGGAGTTTCATCTAATGCTGCGTCAGCTGTGTTTTCTGATGAAGAACCTTCATTACCAGAACAACGTTTTTGTAGCCAGTGAGTTTTATGAGGATAAATGACTAAATTATGCATTAGAAATACCCTATTTTGTGAAGCGCTGAGAGGTTGAAAGAACAGTAGCTGGCAAATCAAGTGAGGTTGGAAGAAAGATTTGAATACTGGTTGGAAGAATTTTAAAATAGTTCAGTCATTTATAACAAAAAAAAAAAAAATATCATAAATAAGGGATGACTTAGTTAATGAATTCCTGCTGATACTAACTGAAAATTGTGTGTTCTTAGTCTACATTCATTTGCAGCACCGAAAGTCATTCATTCTAGAAGTTTAAGTGCATACAGGGGGCTATCCATGTCTAAAAACCTATAGAGAAAGGTTAGCAATTATACCAAGTAAGGTCCTGATCCACGTACAAGTACAGGTGTTGAAACAGCAACTTAACCAGGTTCGTTCTTCCCTGTGTCGCTCAAGCAGTAAGATGAAGTAACAGTGGTTCCTTCTGGCTTCCAAATGTGTAAATCAGGGAGGGGCAGGTAGGTGGTTGTTTAATTTAGTGTTGTTAGTCTTCTGTATTTGTTGTTAGATGTTCTGCTTTATTTTTTGGGGGACTCCAGCAGTGTAAGGCTCAAAGGCGTTATCATTTCACTGCTCTGTCACGGAGCTACATACAGTATTAGCAGGCTGCATTATCTCAGTTGCTGTGAATTCTGCATCCCCTGGCGAGTGCCAGCCCTGTGAGGATCTTCTGCTTCTAGTTGAAACGTGCTTTCTGTGTTACATTTAGTCAAGTGAGTTATGTTTTTATTTAAATTGGCTTTCTTTTTAACTAATAGTGATGGTGTTGCGGATTTGGGTGCAAAATGGGAATGATATTGAACAACATCAATCTACACAGTGAGCATTCTTGATTAATATATATATGAGCTTTATTTGCATCTTGAATTAGTTTCTCCTTGTATGTCAATATTTTGCAGAAGAGATGACACTAACGTGTTTTTATTGTGTTTACCAAGTATTGACAGAGGCAGCTCTTCTTTCCTTTTAGGAATCTGGGTAAAAATGGCTTATCTAACAGTAGTATTCTATTGGATAAATGCCCACCTCCACGACCACCGCCTCCACCATACCCTCCCTTGCCAAAGGACAAGCTGAATCCACCTACACCTAGTATTTATGTAAGTAAACCTGATGGTAGAAGTACACTGCTGACTGTCTTTTTTAATTACTTAGATACACTGCTCTTCCAGCTAGTATATAAGCAGTAAAAATGCTAAACTTAAAGAGAATTTTGAGACAGGGTTTGACTATTAAAATAGTTGTAAATTAAGAATTTCAGCAGATCAGTGAAGAAGGGGAAAAACAGCTTGAAAAATTTGGAGTTAATGTTTTAATACTTAAAATATTGGTGGAATAAGCAAAATGGTTCAGCGGATACAAAGCTTTTCATTTAAGTTCATTTAAGATGAACTTTTTTTGCAAGGGACAGTTTAAGTGATGAATGATCAAATAATTAAACTGAACTTTCTCAACAGTCTACTTCAAAATACACTAAGGAAAATTAACAAATATTGAGGTGATGGTAACAAGAAAATGTCATAATTAGGAAAAGACGAATTTTGTTAATAGAATAGTACAGTTGGAAGGGGCCTACAAAAAATTGCCTTTTAGGTAGGTAGTTTCTTTTTTTTTTTTCCTTATGCAACCATTTAAAGTTCTGTTCTGGAAACAAAGTTCTGTAATAGCTTTATGAAGTACTGTAGCCAACTTCCTTTATAATGGAAGAGTAAATTACAGTATATCCATACAGCTAATGTAAAAACCTCAGGCTGGCTTTATTCAGATGAACTTCAGGACCAGCAGCACTTGGCAGCTTGGTGTGATACTATACAAGCAGTCAGCCTAAGCACTAGATTAGGATGGAAGCAATAGTGCTGTGTTCAAAGTGTTGCACCTGAATTAATCTACCCAATTACGAGTCCATCACAGCTTCATCGGCTCTCTGCAAAGCTGGTAAATCCCCATGTTGCAGCATACTGGATAGATGTGCCAGTATTTGGGAAACCTGTATTGTGTTTTGTTTATTGAAAGAGATGTTTTCGGCATCTATGCTGTCTCTGTCTACAGTATCATTGGTATTTTGTTCACAGTCTGCAGGATTTTAAAAGGTTCATAGCAATTAAAAATAAAAGTCAGGTGAAACTATAGCATAAAATTGAAGTCATAGATGTGCAAAAGCATAGGAAAATCAAATCTATTTTTCTAGTTAATGTGAGATATACTCTGAGAGTACTCTTTTTAATTATACTGTTTCTCATGTACATTATCTGTAGGATTAGCTTTTTTGACTTCTGAAAAGAATGCTAGTATATTATCCTGCTCTTCAGAGAATTCTGCAGGTTCAGAGAATTTACAAGGCTACCGTCAGATAAAGAAATAAACTGCAGGAAACCTGAGTTGCAAAAGCTGAAGCAACCTGAGAATAATTCATGCCAAGAAATAAATTACAATAATTAATTAATTTCAGATGGAGTGAACCCAGTTTATAACATGGAAATGGTTGTATGGTGTTGCTGTTCAATCCCCTCAGTGCAGGGAAATGGTTAAAATTCCCATCTTTTTGTTGTTTCTCATTTTTTATTACTCTTTCTTATTTTACAAACAAGGAGTCTAAATTCATCTGACATCTAATATTCCATTATGATTTTACAGTTGGAAAATAAACGAGATGCTTTCTTTCCACCTTTACATCAATTTTGTACAAATCCAAACAACCCTGTTACTGTAATACGTGGCCTTGCTGGAGCGCTTAAATTAGGTAACTTTACTTTGGTTTCTTTTTCTTTGAAAAATGTATGCATTTAAACAAAAAGTTTAAAGTTTCTCAGTTCTTAAAAGTGGAATTTTTTTATAATACTATATTACTTTTGTATTTCAATTAATTAGGGTTATGTGTTGTCACTTAGCTCACTACTGTTTCTAACCTAGATCATCTCTGAAAAAAAAATTCCAGCAGATTTTGTTGATCATGGAGAAGAACTGAGCTGTGGGCTTGGGGGCTTACAGATGGTCTTTTTTCTTATGGAAGCTATGGCTATGTGTCTTTGTGCTTAGATTTAGTGATCTCACTGTGTACAATATTTTGAACTTTGTACCTTGAAAAACTGTCATTGCTAGTAGGAAGTGGGTTACATAATGGAAGTACATTCATAGAGCTCTAGTTGTCTGAAAAATACTTCATTGGTAATAGATTTATCCATGTTTATAGATTTTTCTTGGAATATACATCTTACAGATGCTGGATTATAGCTCATACTATAGTAGCTGCCAAGTTCCTGTTGTGCAGAAAAGCTTTTTGAGTGTTATCAGAAGTGTTAATTTTTAAGATACAGGGGGGCTGTATTTTGAAGGCTGAGGGAAAAATATGTTTTAGATTAATCCTTTAGATAATGTTATGTATTAATATCTTATATTCCTGGAACTTTTGTAATATTTTAACTATCATTTGTGAATTCTATTATTTATTAGATTTAGGACTCTTCTCTACTAAGACATTGGTAGAAGCAAATAATGAACACATAGTAGAAGTGAGGACACAACTACTGCAGCCAGCAGATGAAAACTGGGACCCCACTGGAACAAAGAAAATATGGCGTTGTGAAAGCAGTAGATCTCATACAACAATTGCTAAATATGCACAGTACCAGGCCTCTTCGTTCCAGGAGTCTTTAAGGGTGAGTCCATTGTTCAAGTTAAAACTTACAAACTGTGTACTAACTCTGGAACCAAATTGTATTAGTAATGGCTATTGGGAAAAAATGCACTAGTTCTAAGGAAACAGAGGCATTCCCGTCAACATGAAGAGCACAAATAATTTTACAAATTCCATTATGAATAGACAGTCAAACGGTGTTTAGGGTGTTTGTTCCCACCAGGTTCTTAATGTAGACTTAATTTTCTTAATGTAAAGCTCCTGGCTGTTACATGTTGTAAAAGCTTGTTACCTTTCAGCTTTTGTATAGTGATGTCAAAATGCATATTAAAACGCATAGAACTTCAGACAGTTTTCTTATTTGTATTGCTTCTAATTTCACACACGCTTTGAAATGATATTTCTTACTTCTTCATAGCATGCTTAATTAATCTATGCTCATACTTCTCTTTCAGCAAAATGGTTTAAAATACTGTATTAACATTTCCCCCCCTCAGAGTGTCTGCTTTGCGTATTTGTTACAGCTGGGCTCCAAACATAACATTTTCTGTTTAGTATAGAAGTTGACATACATTATACTTTATTGATACTAATTTTCAATATTTTTGTTGAAGTAGTGAGTGCATCCTTGTAATTAGCTGTGGGCATTCATCTAAGGCGTATGTTATTGAGTGTTGTGAAAAGATTAGGGTAAGGTGATACAAAAGAAAAGGTATTATTGACCAGTTGTTGATTAGATAATTGGGAAAACACAGGGAATCAGTTGTTGGTTGCAGTTTTCACTGCTGTTATACTAAAACAACAATGGTTTCATAAAGGGAAAAAGAGAAATTCTCAGTTCAAATTTCATGAGTTTGAGGAAAGGATTTAAAGCAAAAAAATGAATCTGTGGTTGAAGAAAAGAAAAGGCAAGGTAGTTACAATTTGAGTGAGACTGGTATAGGATGAGGAAAAGGCAAAGGAATACTACTGGGAGGTGGAGAGCACTGAAATCATTAAGAGTGTGTAGATTGGCCTAGCTTGGGACTTGCATGGGATTTTCTGTGAAGATTTGTACCAGCGTTGTATTCTTGAGCATCAGTTCTGAGGAGCTGGAGAACATGGCATATGTATAATGTTACAGAAAAGTACGTTTAATAAAGTATGTAATAGGTTATGTACGAGCTTGTCAGCGGGAAAGTCTCAGCTTTGATTTGGCACCAAGAAGCGACTGCAGTATTTTCTGGTGTTGTGGTGGTTGTTGTTTATTTTTTCTGTTAGAAATTGGGAGTAAAAATATAGCATGTAAAATAATTTTCATAATGACAATTTTTCATTTTTCCTTTGGAAATCAAAACGACGTTGTTCTAAGTGCATGTGCTTCTTTTGCCTAACACTGCTTTGTCCTGTCCTTAGGTGACTTTTGTAGTGTTCAAATGAAAGCCATGTTTCTTCTTTCTACTGACACAATCATGTTGGCTTGCCTTAAGTGACCTTCTTTTTTTTCCCTCTAACAACTATTACATTGCTTTTCTAACATGTCTTTCAGGATTTCATAAATCCATCATCACTAGGTTCCTTTTTGTTTCTCTTTGTCCTTCATTCAAAGGATGAATAAGACTTTCTCAGGTACATAGGGCACTTTGAGACTTAACAACAATCCCATTCAGAGACAAAGATCTTTGGATAGCATCCAGGCAGTTCTTTCCTACTTTTCATCTTACTCTTTCACCTTCTTTGTCCATCTAGTTGTGAAAAAAGAAGGTTTTAGAATAGGATTTTGAGCCCTCTCTGCTAAAAAGATAAAATTACATCATTTAATATTAGTTAGACTTTTTCCAGTAGTCATGGTCCAAGTACTGCAGTGCTAAAATAGCAGATGGCTATTAAAAATTCAAAAGACTTTGTATAATGGATATTATAAAATGAATTTTATAAATATTAGTCATCCTAGTTTCACGTCAGGAGACCTGTTTGATTTTGAAGGTAGATAAATGTTCTCGTCTAAAAAAGTTAGCAGTATTCATTTAGATTGGTTTCCTTTTCACCTGCATAATGAAGCAAACCAACACATTAATTTGCCACTCTAATATAGGCTAACAGAAATATTTACAGTGTAGAAACTTCTTGTTTCCTGGCCTGAACTTGACTGAATTTTTAGTTATGAAGAATTTTTTTCAATGTTTTTGACTAATAACTGGTTCTTATATATTTTAACAGTAATGCTCATATAATATTCCAGAAATAAATATTTTAAAAGTTGTACGACCATCTTGAAACAAATGTACTTAAGTCTGTTAGCAGGCTATCACTTCATACCTTTATATGCCTATATTTTATATATACACTTATTTTATATTTAAGTTATTTAAATGTTATCATTTATTTAAATTATTAAACATTTTCACAATTGTATTTTATAGGAGGAAAATGAGAAAAAGAGTCACCACAAGGACCACTCAGATAATGAATCCACATCTTCAGATAAGTAAGTGTGGTATTAATATGATAATTCTATAGCTGGTTTTATGTGCTGTTTTTTTTGTTTGTTTGTTTGTTTGTTTTTGATTATTTTTTTTTAAACACTGTTCTTACTTTCACATTCATCTGTTACATTTTTTGTATTTACAGCTCTGGGAGGAGGAGAAGAGGACCTTTTAAAACAATCAAGTTTGGGACCAACATTGACCTGTCAGATGATAAAAAGTAAGTCTGATTGCAGTTTCTTTTGCTCACAGTGGTATTCTACAGTGTGATACTCCTGGAAAACTAATGCATTCTTCTCAGAGGTCAGTTGGTTTGTTGATAAACCCAATTCCATTTGGAAGCCCCATTACTGCAATTAAATTGTTACCTTTAGTATTAAAAAGTTGTTATGAATCTGTCTTGCCTTAAAATCTTTTTTCAAACTTTTCTTTCCAGGATCTTTATTTTTTCAGTAAGCAACTTTAAGCATCCATCAGTCACTGTTCTTTCTAGTAATCCTTCTAATACATTCCCTTGTTTCATTCTGATGTTTTAAATTGTTTTCCTCCCTTCTCCTCCATCCCCTTTTGTTCCAGTGCTCATTCTTCTTGTTTCCATTTTCTGTTAGCTCTTGTTTCACTACCCAGGAACAGAGTTCAGTATAGGTAGCAAAAAACAGACTGATGCATGCATGTAGATAAGCCATGATACTCACCCAGAATTAAACACACACACACACAAAGGGGACGGGTGGAAACACAGAGTATTCTTTAGACTAGAGATATCTTTGTGAAGCCAAGAAGTGGAGGAAAGTAGCACAGAAAAACTTGAGAATGTATCAGAAATACCCTGAAAGTCCTTTTTTTTTTTTCAATCTCTACTTGGAAATGTATGGAAACATATACTATTACATATAGGCCGTCAGTCCCACCAGCTGCAGTAGAAAAATTCTGATGTATTTCAGTAATTATAGCAGGAGAAAATGTTATAGTGTCGGAAACTGAGGAATAAGGCCTGCTTAAGATGCTGATAGGTCTTTTGTGGCGTCTTCTCTGGAATATCATTGTGTATACAGATGTGTGTTTAGAGATTGTTATGAAATTTTAAATATTGATTGTTTTTTTTTTCTAAAGAAAATTCCATCTGTAGGTACAAAATTGTTGCCAATAAACTATCCCTGAGAGCAGTGCTTTGGGTGAGAGAGACTTTAATCTAAGCACGACTAACCTGAGGCTCATAGGAATTGGTTTTGATACTTTAAATAGTTCTTGAAGGATCACAGACAGATGCAAGATCATCTGATCTGCAGTCTCAGCTTTTGCTACAAAAAAAATTTCCCCCTCAACTAACCTGTCATATGTGTGATTACATTTGGAAATATTTTGGAATCATGAGAGTAACACAGATACCTGGGTGACATTACTGAGCTCCACACTTAAGTTAGGAGATTTTTGTGGTTGAAGATATGTTTTCACTAATACAAATATTCTGTTCCATAGCATGTGCATACAGTTAACTTTATTCTTCGTCACAGCAATAGTGTTTGCAAGTTAAGGTGTGTTCAGTCTTCCTAGCAAATGCCATGTCGTCATTATCATTTGGATCTTGGAAGTATTTCAAAAACACTTCCTGACTGGGTTAGAGTGTGGGGAGAGCAAACTTGTGGGTTTGCTTGGAAAAGATATACACCAAGCTGTAAATTGCAAGCAGGATTTTCCAGTGGTATAGCAACTGATTGCATAACTACAAGATTCGGTTAGGTCACCAGGTCTTCTAGTTCACAATTAAATAAAAATTGCCATCTAAATTTCTGTAGCTATCAAGTAAGGTTATTGCATTCTGTAAACTTCCTTCTTTAAAGATGGTAAGTTACACAGGTTGTCTCCTCCTTCATCTCTAACACTAATAATTTTTTAAAAATATTTGTCTTTCCCAAACTCTTAGAAGAGTTTTAGGGATTCACAGTTTGTCGATTTGCTATTTTGCTGCAGGTGGAAGTTGCAACTCCATGAACTGACAAAACTTCCTGCTTTTGTACGTGTGGTATCAGCAGGAAATCTTCTAAGCCATGTTGGTCATACTATCCTGGGCATGAACACAGTGCAGTTGTACATGAAGGTCCCAGGAAGCAGAACACCAGGTGAGTATAATCTTTGCATGGAAAAACAGCAATAGAAACAAACAAACAACAACAACAAAAAAAAAAAAAAACAGGTTCTACTGTTGTGGTGTTAACTGCACTGCAAATTTTTCTTATTTTCTAGCAGGTTTGAACAAGATAAAATAGCACACATTCAGAATTTTTTAATTTCTCATTTAACTTAGTTCTGCATGTGCAAACCACTGAATTTCCGTGTAGTGGAAGTTTATGGATTTCTGCAGTGCTTGGTGGTTGTACTTTTTAAATTCTCGGCTGCCTTGAGAATAAGACCCTGTAATGAATAGTGTTGTGGTGGGGCACTGTTGTGGGTTAACCCCCAGAGGTCACGAAGCACCACACATCCTGTCACTGCCACCCCTCCCAGTTGGATGGGGAAGTGAATCACAAAGGTAAAAGTGAGAAAACTCTTGGGCTGAGGTAAAGACAGTTTAATAGGTCAAGCAAAAGCTGCGTACACAAGCAAAGCAAAATAAGGAATTCATTCACTACTTCCCATTGGCAGGCAGATGCTTAGCCAAAATTAACTCAGTCCCAGCCAAAACCAGTACAGGCACTGGACTGAGACTTGTGGGATCTGGACTAAATTTCAGAATCTCTTTGTGCTGAAGTACTTCTTTAGATAATTCTATTAGGGATTATGGTTCAGTTTTCCAGCTGTCAAAAGAAGATAAAATTCTGGTATTTCTACATTGATTTTGAAAGCTCTTTGGGACAGATTTTCTTGCCACTTGTCTGTTCAGTGCCTGAAGTCATGGAGTTTTGCTCCTGACTGTCAAGAGCTGTCACAAAACACAAAATAGAGGTTTTAGCATCTTGAAGCATTTATTTCTACTAAAGGGGAGTTGCTTATGTGTTGGCCAGTTTCATAAGATTGGTAATTCCAATTTTGCATTTTCCACAAACTAACAAAAGCAGAATTCTCTTGTCATTGACAACTTAATTACATTTCTTAATACTGTGAAGCCCCTAAACAGTGCAACAGGTATCATATAAAAACTTAAACTGTTTTTAAACTGTTTATATAAGTATATATGTAAATCTATGTAAATATATAAAAATAAATAAAAGTTGTAAAACTTTTTTTTTTAACTGTTTTTTTGTTTTGTTTTGTTTTTAGTAACTGTAACTAACTTTGCATTTTCATGGTGTTATTTTGATAGCTCAGCCTTACATAACGTGTATTTCTTTTTCTCTAAATTTCAGGTCATCAAGAAAATAACAACTTTTGTTCAGTAAATATAAATATCGGTCCAGGTGACTGTGAGTGGTTTGTTGTCCCTGAAAGCTATTGGGGTGTCATGAATGACTTCTGTGAAAAGTAAGCTGGGCATGCTGTTCTCAATTTTTATTGAGTTCTCTGTTCCTTTATCAGACCTAGTGGGAAGGGGGAAAGTACTCACTGGGGGTGTTAAAAGTGGGTATTTTATGGGTTTTCCATGTAGTTTGAAAAGTCTTTAAAACAACTCAAAATGCAAAATCTAGAATGTCAAAATAGAGCATTTGTGCAACGTACAGAAACATGGATTGCCTTAGGTGCCCTGTGATAGTTTTTCTCTCAGAAAATAATGTTGCCACATCAGATAATCTGTCTCAGTCCTTGCTGTTTATCTGGACATTTTATTATGCATGTTAAAGCTAACCCCTACTCTTAACAAATGGTGATGCTTTCATAATGGCTTTTAGGGCTGTTGTAGTAGGGTAACGGAAAAGAATTGGGGGGTCAGGGAGCTGGGTTTTTGGTTTTGTGTTTTTTTGTTTCTTTTTTTGTTTGTTTGCTTGTTTTTAGGAGTGATGGAGTGAAGTATTTTCCTGGTGATGCATGCTGTTAGTCTTGATTATGATTAATGTACATGTTGTACTCTAGCAAGTACCCGGCCATGCTATTTGGCACAGCTTCTTGCAGCTTCTAATGGCAGAGCTTAGTTTACCCAGATTCTAGAAGGCGTCATGGCATGCTTTACATACACTTACGAGTTTGTAACTTGCTTTAAAAAGTTGAGGTATACTGAACATTGGGTAATACTGGACTTGCTCCAGAATTAGAGCTTGTATGTCCTGCTTTGTGTAGAGTGCGTGCTTAAGGAGAAGGAGAAAGGAAAAAAAAAAAAAAAAAAAAAAAAAGAGGAGGAGTAGGTGTGTCCCCTCCTCATGCCATGTTCGTTTGATCTTAAGGGAGATTTTTTTTTTCTCATCTTGCAAAATTAGCTGATCTAAACTGTTGACATTTCTTCAGAACTTCTTCAGAGCTCTGCAAATTCTTCTCAGTGTCTGTGTATTTTCTGCCTGTACACTGACAACTGTTCTTATGTCATCCACCTTTACAAAGATAACTCGCCTCAGAACTGTAATTCCACTGATGCAATTGCAATGTCTCTGATGGCAGTATGCTTGTTGCCCTTATGGCAGTGCCCTTCTAAGCGTGACAGAGAATCTAAGACCTTGGTAACCTCTTAAACAGTCCAGAGTGCCTGATAGAGGCACTGAATGGTCATTGAAAACTGAATTGCCAATGTGCAATAGAAAAATCATCTAAAATTGAGATGAGAAAGGGAGAGAAGTGTGTATTTTGCATAACCATACTAGAAGATAAGATTTCATTGTTGGGAAATTCATATGGAGGCCTTTTTGTCCTGCTTCTCAGGACGGGTATAGTATTTCTTGTCTGAACATAGCATAGAGTTGTGCCTAGCAGTTGAGGTAGTACCAACAGGTCATTCTTGTGTGCATGCTTGCAGTGACAGCATGAGTACATGTTTAACATTGCTTGAAACAGAAAGCATTCATAAGATGTGTATATCAAATTAGTTGCTCTGGTTAAAAAGAAAACTACATGCTGCACCGATGTCACACTAGATCTAACCAAGAATTTCTCTTCCTCAGCATTATTAATACTGGGAAATTTAAAGGAAAATAGAACTTAACTGGAAGCCAGGAACTGACTTCACACGAGCAGAAGGTTAAATATTTCAATATATGGCAGGATGTAAGACGTTGAATTAGGATCTGAAATTTTATAGATGAAACTTTCCATTTGTCTAGTCCTACTGGGTCGGTAATTAGTTGCAGATAGCATTTATGGTGGTGATCACTTTTTACAGGTAATTTTATTGTGGTATTGACTACTAATACATACGCTGATAAATGCTGAAAGTTGTTTCTCCTCTCGTTTCAGGAACAATATGAATTTCCTAATGGGGTCTTGGTGGCCAAACTTGGAGGATTTGTATGAAGCCAATGTCCCAGTTTATAGGTTTATTCAAAGACCAGGGGATTTGGTGTGGATAAATGCTGGCACTGTTCACTGGGTTCAGGCTATCGGTTGGTGCAACAACATCGCTTGGAACGTTGGCCCTCTTACAGGTATGGTTGAATAGTGTGTGTGCTGAAGTAAGGTCATACTATTCTATATAAGCTGTGGAACCTGCCATTTCTTAATAATTTAACAAGTTTGCTAGATTAAAAAAAATGATTTTTTTTTAACATTTTGGTGTCTTGAAGCATTAAATAATTTCATTGGTAAGAGGAAGTGAAAACAGCAAGAATGCAGTCATTGCACTCCTCTATCTAATGGACTTCTAGAAATTACAATTGCATAACAAACACTAGCAGGACAAAGTGTTGAGATGAATTCATACACTCTGTTTTGTAGGCTATTTTCTTACCTTTCTCTCCCCAAACCTGTTCTACCCAAAAGACTGTGCTACAGCTTACTTACAAATTGAGGATTTGTCTAATCTCATTTTTTCAGGACAAGAGATACCTAACAGCTCCTTAGTGAAAGCATCAGTAAACACAAACAGTTGATTAAAATATATATATTTAAATGAAGGAATGTAAGATTTTTCAGGCCTGCTGCTCTGGAAGCCTTTATTTTTGAACCATGGTTTAGGTAGATTTTTAGGTGTGAAGATGGGAAAAAGTTCACAGCAAAAATAAGGAGATTGTTAGGAATTTGGACAGAATGTAAAAAAAAAACAACACACAAAACAAACAAAAAACAACAAAAAGAAACACACTGTTTTCTTGAATAGTTTAAGTTGTATCTTTATTTCATTATGGTGCAATAAATAGGGTGTCTCCAGGATTATATGATCAATTGATACAGATATCACATGTTCACTCACAGTAAGTTTTGCAAAACATTTTTTAAAAAAGTGTGGGGTGAGTAGGCTGCTTAATGAAAAAGTCTGACTCACTGCACAAACCTCTCAAGGTGCAGTCTTCCTTTTCAAATTATATGCTGTAGCACTGTAAAATGATAAAGAATATGCAGACATTGCAAAAGTCTGCAAGGTGTAGATATTTCAAATGTAGATATTTTTTATCTCAAATGTTTGAGAAATTATTTAAGTAACCCTTTTTGAATTCGTGTTCTTTGTTCAGCATAGAAATCAAACAGTTGTAAATTCTTGTTTTCACAGGTGGTTGTTGCTACTGTGGTATTATGTTCTTTCAGCTTCTGAAATATAATAAATAAATGTTTTAGAGATTATTGTTTTTTTTTTTAATTTAAATATAGTTGCAGCGAATAGGCTGTTTAATCTCACCCTTAAAAGCCTAGATTTTAAATATAATCAAATTATTTTGGATTAAGTTGGCTAATTACTTCTGTGATTTTCTATAGCCTGTCAGTACAAATTGGCAGTGGAACGGTACGAGTGGAATAAACTTCAGAGCGTAAAGTCCATAGTACCCATGGTTCATCTTTCATGGAATATGGCTCGAAATATCAAGGTCTCAGATCCAAAGCTTTTTGAAATGATAAAGTAAGTTTACTGTTAACGTTTCCTATATCCATTTCCTCTTCAACCATAAAACAAGAGTTAATCTGTAAATAGCCCTCTGTAAGACTTCTGTTCCTGAGAATCAAGCCAAAATGATTTCACAGTCTGTTTTTTAAAGAACCCATTTTTAGATACTGATTGTAATACATTATATTTGATGATACTGTGACATAGCTTGAGAATGATCTAATTAACCTCTGTTGTTAAATATGCAATAGACTCCAATACAGCGGTTTACAGAAGCAGTTGACTTAGACAACAAAACTTGTTCAGAGTATATACCATAAGAAATAATAAATTTAGGTTATCAGTCGAAATATTAGAATCATTATTTACTTTTACAGCAAAGTTAAATTTAATTTTACATTTCTAGAACCTCTCTTTAGTTAAGGCTCACACACTGTCATTTGGAAATCCAATATAAATTTTTAAATAAGGCCAAGTAGGAATTGGAAGCCTCCTTCCCTTTGCTCGCTCTTCTGAACAATGAACTAATCTCTAAAATGATACTTGAGTATAGGCACATTTCTCATACACTTACTCCAAAATGCAGAAATATTCCTGACTCAGAGCATCTTTAGTAATGTTTTTAAGAGTGCTACTTCAAGCAAATATAAATCATTAAATCCAGGGTGAGGAATAAATGGACATTTCAGCATATATCATAGGCTTGTCCCAAAGAAACTGGAGGAATAAATTCCAAAATGAATGATTCATCATGAGAATGCTATGGTTACAGCTCTCTGTTTTTCTTCAACCAACCAAAAGAACTTCTGGCTTAGGTACTTAGTCCTTTCAGCATACTGGATCAACAGGCATTGAATCCTTCTATCATTTGACAAGTAAGATGGTAACTATAAGGCACAAGAGTGTTGCAGGTTGAAGACAGGTTTGTAGTAACTGCATAACTAGGTTTTGGAATGGCACTTAAATATGAATACTTTTTTTTAAAACATATCAACAAATATCTAGATTGAAGAAAATATTTTTTGAATGTTTGACAGTCTTTCCCCTAAGTTATGAGCAATCGTAGTCAGGATGCTAGCTGTTAAAAAGGGAGAAGAGAAATTGAGTAGTCTACGGTTAGAATTGAGAAATGGGAAAGGAGTAAGTGTTGGGAAGGAGGAAACCAAGAAGTCCATTTTAAAAAACAAACAAAAACTTATTTCACAGGTTATTTATCTTCCCAAGCCCAGCAGGTATTGTAAATGTCAGAAGAGCTCTAGAAGGTTTTTGGCAAAATAAGATTTTACAATAATTTGGGAACTGTATTTTGCATTCACACAAGGGTGGTGGGATTTTTTTGGCCATGGTTTAGGTTTAAAAGGAGAAAAGCATTACTAAGCTAGGCATCTTTCTCCAAGAGAAGATCTTAAAATGTTGTGAAGAAATACAGGGAACAAAATGGATGTTTCCTACTGTCTTTATTTGGTAGCAGCTGAGATTTTTGTAGCAAGGTACCTACATTTTGGATGTACTTTACAAATAAGGTTGCTGAGAGCTGATTGAAAGTTTGGTCTTAAGTACACTTGGTATTTCCATGCTACTGACACCATTTCTGGTTTACTTAGATTAAGCTCTCCGTCTAAGTTGTCAACCAAATCCCAAGTTTCATGCTTTGCATGCAAAGGAGGGGAAGAAGACCCAATGATGAGCTCTAGTATGTTACATCTAGGAACAGTAACCTCAGATAACTCTTCACTGTGGTCTCTGCCCTACTTATGATATAGCTGTAACTAGAAATGGGTGTCACCAGCACACACAGTCTAATATACTAGACTGTGGCCTTACATAGACAGTGGAAATGCAGGAACTGTCACAAATCCCCATACGATAGGAAAGCAATTGCATAATTTTCCCTGGAAATGCTTGTATGGAGGAGAATAGTACCAGCTGGCAAGTAGCTATCATCATTTGCAGCCTAGATTTTACTATATACAAAATATAGGCTTTTGTGTGTTTATATTTGTGTCTATGTATGTGTATAAAAACATCTAAGGAATAGTGGTTCCTGATACAGCTGATTCAATTTTAAGTGGAATAGCTAACTGTTCATTTGTCATCAGGAAAAAAAAAATGTATCAGTGACATGGCTGTCATCTTTTCTACCGAAGTGGAGGTCCATATATCTCAAATTATGACATTGAAGATATCACAAGCATTTAGATAGCTTGACTTCTGTCTCTGGGGCTTCTTAGGTATCAGAATATCACAAAAGAACAGCTTTTGGAAAATGATAAAAAGTAGTTTGTAATTCCAATTTGAAAGATAAATACAAGTGTGTCTCACTAGGTTATCTGAGAAGAATATATATAAGTATTCGGAATTAGATTAATGATGAAAAGAAATAGAATAGCAGTAGGAAAAAAAATCAAAAAAAGCTCTTTGCTTTTCGAAGGAATTTGTAGTCTCCTTGTGTTTTTAGGTAATGTACATTTTAGTGCTGCCTTGCTCTATATAAAAGACACAGAGCAAAATCTGAAACTTTCTCATGAGATGTTTTCTAAAAATTTTATGTTAACAGTAAAATCCTGGGTGGGAATGCAGACAGATAAAATGATATAAACTTGACTGAGAGAGCACAACCCTCAAAAAAAGAAAAATTAACAGCAAAACTTAAATGGAAAGACAGAAGGACTACCAAATGCCTCTGAGGAAGAGAAAAACTTTAGAGAGTGGGAACATAGCAAAAAGGCATAAAAAATAATTTCAAAGTAACTGAAATACTAAGTTCTTTTACAAAAATAGTTTTATAAATGTAAAACACCAGGACATGGGAGAAATGATTTTGCACAGAATCATAAAGCCAGATCACATTTCAGTGTCGGTAGGGAAGCCAAATAGCTGGAAGATACAAAGAGGTCAGTTTTGCAATGGTCTCCACGCATCAGAAGCTTTACTGGTTATCTAAATATTAGAACAGGCTTCTCAGCACACTTTCAAAATCTTCTCTTAAATATTTGAATTTGACTGGACATGATTTACTCATACTCTTTATGCCATACCTATTAAGAGTATTAAGAGTATGAGGTACAGGTGTGGCAGAATAAAGCAAGCCTACAATACTAAAAGCCTATCCCACTTGCACACCATGACTCCATTATGCACCTTTTTTGCTTTCTTTAGGCTTCTCCTACTTTAGGAAATTATGGTACGGAATTTCAAAGTGATACTTTGTGTGCTTTCTCCCATTCTTTGATAGCATGAAATAGTTAATATCTACATTTTCAAGTGCCATTACTCAGATGTGAATTTCAGCCAAGGAGGAGTAATTCACCTCCTAGCTATTGTTTTTGGCTTTGGTTGCAATTTTGGCAAACGTTGCAGTAGTGTTGTTTGTGGATTACATTTTGAGCAATTCTTTCTTCGCAACCGTAACACTAGAAAGGTCTTTGAAAATAACACTTTGAAAACTCCTTGGGAGTCACGAATGGAGAACAATGGCTGCAAGTGGGTAGATGTGCTTCTCGTTGCTCTTTGACGTACCCAAAGACTGTTCCAGATGACAGCACAAGAAAATGGTAGCTTTTAAGATTATTTCAGATTGAGCTGTATTGCATAAAAGAATGCTATACCAAAGATACTGAACTTGTCAGAAGCATTTCTAGCTTAGTCTAACATTCAAGTGAGTTAATGCATGATCTATCTCATACGGTTGGCCTTACTATCATGAGTGCCATTAACATCAAACTTGAAAAGTGCTGAAGGAGTTACATCAAAGTGAACTGTTAATTTCCTTGAAAATCGGTATATGAAAATAAGTTTAACTTAAAAACAAGCTTTTAATTGTGCATTATTCCTACAGTAAGGGTATAAATGAAGCTAAAGACTTGTTTTTAGTGAAGATGAACAATCTGAATGTAAAACATTGAGAGGAAAGTATCTGAAAGTAAGCCTAAAATTCTATTAACTACTTGGAAACACATGAAAGAAACATTTGAAGAAATACAGAACATAGATATTACATGTTGAAGGCTTTAGAATGGGAGAAGGATCAAGTTGAAAACATTTTGATAGAACTCTTGAGCACTTTGTTTTCTGTCCAATGTTTATTCTTCCCCTTACATTTTTCAATCTTCCTTCTGCATCTAATGAGCATGTAATGTAACCACCCTGTGGAGGAGAAAATTAAAGGCTGCAAAGGCAGTGGCTCAAATAAATAAGATAGCTGAGAGCTAAAAATTACTGTAAATAACATTGTAATTTAGAAATCTGGTGACCTATTTTGCCAGCTTGTTTTTCAGTGAATGTATGCTGCTCATACAATGCTAGAAAACAAGTTACATTTTCTGTATACAGTTCTCTTCTGTACTTTCTCTCTCCTTTCCTCTCTCTGTCTCTCTTAATCCTTAGCAGAAGAATGGCAGAGAATTGTTGGTTTTAATTTGGCCAGTTCTTCATTCATAAGATGTATTTAAAATTAATTTTAGTACATTTTAATTTTTTCTTTCCTTGAAGGAACTTCCTTTTCTAATACCAACCTGTCCATTCCTGTTTTTTTTACATGGATGATGATGGCTTTTGCTAGATTTTTTTCATACTGTGTGTAGAGTGATTCATGTCAGAACCTAGATTTCCAGACTTTGAATAACTGAAAATTTGGTACTGTTCATGAAGTAATTGAGTTTTTAGGACGTTCATTTTTGCAGGCTGTTTGGGTAGGCTTATAATCATTTACGCAAATGTCAGGTTGGTAGTTCAGACTAACTTTTTGCTGATACATTTATAATTCAAAATAAGTTGCATGCATTTTTAAGACCACAGTATTTTATTATGTTTTAAAACGTCCATTCATTCCAGTCAAAAATGAAAGATACATACTGTTGCAGGGAAAGAGCCATTACAGAAATGAAATAAATTTACTAAGAGGTCCATAATCATGTGGTCTAACTTCTGCCTAAGTTATGTGTCCAGGGATTCTTATTAGCCAGGTGTTTTCTGAAATCCCCAAGGAAGAAGAAACTCCAGGTATGGGGTCTGAGATGAAATGTAGTCTGTTTGAATCTTGCTTATAAAATGGAACGCTAAACTGAATGTGCAACTGAATGCCAATGTAGTCCTCCCTCTGATCCCGATTTTTGCTTGCAGGTATTGCCTGTTAAGAACTCTCAAACAGTGTCAGACACTGAGGGAAGCTCTGATTGCTGCAGGAAAAGAGATTGTCTGGCATGGGCGAGCAAAGGATGAGCCAGCTCATTACTGTAGCATTTGTGAGGTCAGTAAAAGCATGTTGGGCTTGTGTACTGTTGTAACATTTATTGAAATTTTGACCCATCTTTTGTTGTTGCTGTAAGTTGCAGCATCTATTGTGTGCTCAAAGCATACGTGTGATGCAGTGCTATCTTCAAAGGGTTTATTAAGCTATTTTGCTAGATACAGGTTGTATTTTACTTCCGTCTTTTCCGCAGTACATAGGGACTGTTATTCACTAGGTCAAATTTCAATTCTTAGTTCTAAAAAGTTGTTACCCCTTCTTGCCTATAATTTGATCTGCTGAGCTTCAGTTTGAAGGTATATCTGTCTTTATGTCAGAAGTCAACAACAGTCCCCAAAAAGGGAGAATTTAAACTTATTTTCTTTACAGGACATACCTTTTTATTGAAGTTTTTGATTCTACTTTTCTGTTACTAGTTCCTTTAAAGTATTGGATAATAGTTCTCATGAAGCTTAAAATAAAAAAGTTTCCCACTCCTTGAAATTCAGTTTCAAGTTATTTTCTGACCGAACCTGTTGGGCAGGATGCATGTATGACTGAATAGTAGGGGAATAAATCATGACTTTTTGTGCAGGCAAATTTAAAAAAGGAAAACTAGAGATAATTGTTATAAATACCCACGATACTGAGTGACCAGTATTCAGAGCAAATCCTGCTTTGTTAATATTGATCAAAAAGATTCCTATAGAGCTGTTAATGCACGCATCCAAAGTGTAATGTTAGCAGTGGTTTTGGAATATTTCACCTCAGTGCAGGAGCCTTAGGAAGATGGACTTTTCCTGAACAAATGTAATTTTTCTCACTATATGCTCAGGGTAAGGGTGTATATCTTAAACCATGAAGGCTGTATTTGCTTTAACTTCTTAAAAACGAAATTGTAACAGTTGACTTTGTTTTCTGTCTTAATAGGTGGAAGTCTTTGATCTGCTTTTCGTCACTAGTGAGAGCAATTCTCGAAAGACCTATGTTGTACATTGCCAAGACTGTGCAAGAAAGATAAGCACGAACCTGGAAAATTTTGTGGTGCTAGAACAGTACAAAATGGAGGACTTGATGCAAGTCTATGATCAATTTACATTAGTAAGTCAAATTAATAAGTGGACACATAAATACATTATTTGTAAAGCAGTTGTAGACTGTCTTGGTACTCCACTGTATGAGTACCGTGGACTTTCTGATTCAAATGGAGGTATGGGTTGTATGTGATATTTACAGAACAAAACGCTGCAGAGTCAGATTTGTGTGAAATAGTACAGTAACTTACTGCAGAACATAACCACTGAGTTTTCAGGAAAAGTATGATGTTACAATTCATAAAGTTGTGGCTTTAAAAATCCAATAGAGATCACCTGAAGACCATAACTGGATCAGATGGAGATGGGAAGAATCAGGACAGTGAAGCTTGGAGAAACTAGCACCAGGTTCAAGAGCATCTCTAATACATTGGTTGTGGTATGAAGTCAGTATAGCAGCAGAGCATCCTATGCACTCAGACCCCTTCCTCCCCCTCCCTCACCCATCCCCTCCCAAATCAGCACTGTCCTTCTGCTTAGCAAGTGGATGCTCTCAAACAGTTCTGTCTTTGGCTTGGGGCCTCCTTTGCATTTCAATTTAAAGCAAAAAGCCTCTTTGCCATTATAGCTTCGTGCTATACATGGCAGCCTCCTGCTTTGAACTGTGTCAGCACAACTGTCCTAACATTTCACCCAGGTTTCATTGTTTCAGGCAAAGATGGCTTGTTTGTAATCACAGTGAAAGCGATGCTGGATTTATTTACGATAAGCCTTGCCTTCCTGTCAAAGGAGACAAACATTGGACAAAGCGTTACGAGAATTTCATGTTGAGTTAAATACAGCAGCCCAGAAATGGCTGTGCCTTTTGATTCATTTCCAGGTGCTGCAGAAAATGTATGTTTAGACAATTATTTCATGTTACACTAGCATGATTAAGTTGCAACCTTTGAGCTAATGCCTCGGGGTTCAGCAGTAGAGGCTGGTGAGAGCGCAGGACCATGTCCTCTGAATTTAATTCTCTTCATCGGTCCTGCAGAGCCTGAGGTGGTTGAACTTCAGTTCGTACTTTTAGAAACCCATTGTCATTATAGTTTGTGAAATACTGCAATTTTGAAGCGATGATCTGTTACAGAAAAGCAAATAAATAAACACCTGCTCTCAAATACACCATCCAATTGAGTGGAATGGGAAAAGAAGGCTTCTGATGGAAAAGGGAGAAAGGAGGGAGACAGGGAAGGGTATTTTGTTGTCTGTGTTGATAATATTATGTAGGCAATGGTGGTGATATAACTGTGCCTAGAACAAGGGTTCTCAACCTGTGAGCAGCTCCCTGATCTACCAAAGCCTATACCTGCAGCCCTGAAGGGCATTCAGAAGTGTTCTGCAGTGAAATTGATGCACACTATCATTTCTTTTAAAGGGGGTTACAGTTTGATTGAGAAGAGTCATAGCCTTAAGGTAGCATCTCCCAGATCTAGGAGGGAGAAGAGTAGAGGTCTGTGGCAAGTCACAGGACAAAGATCATCTGAGTTGACTCGATGATCTTGAGGTCTTTTCCAACCTAGAAATTCTGTGATTCTGTGAGATGGCACAAGCCTAACAGGCTCTGTGTTTGGGGTAAAGTATCAGGAGTGAACACAGAAATTAACTAGTGTCAGTGTTTCATAGGTGGATACTAGGGTACAATTGACAGCGTCCTTAGGGACTGTGAGCAGCTTTCTAAAGGGTTCCCACATCATGACAGAACTGATGGGCAGGAAAAGAGAAGAAAGGAGAAGCTCTATCAGAGGTTCAGTGTTTTTATGGTAATGCTACAAATTGCAATATTGGGAAATAGGTATCTTCTAGACCTCGTCTCCTGAAAGCAGGCAGGAACAAGACACCTCACTTCCTTCACTCTTAAGGCGCTCTGTTTTTGAGTTTCAGGATTAAAAAAGAAGCTTTGTCCCCATGCCAGAGAATCCAGAGACCCTTTCCACAGATATCCTAACTTCAGGATTATATGTTACTGTGTAGGTGGGGGGTAAAAATGCAGACCGCAGAGTTTTTGGATAGCCACAGATGGATGACCCGCCCATCCCAGTGGTAAACAGGTTGAGAATCCCTGTTTTAGAGTACATAGCCAGACCTGTAGAAGCCCACATGGAGCTCTTTGCTGCCACAACAGGACTTGTTCTGGCAGCTCACATAGTATCAACTCAGACATCCTCCCAGTCTGCAGTATAGGCAAAATCCTAGTGTGAAGCAGTCATAAAAGTATACATTTTATTGAGTTAGTTGGGAAAACGTGCCAGTACCTACTTGATAAAGTCCAGATGTATAAAAACAGTAGTGTTTGACTTCAAACTCTCATGGCTATCGTTTGGACAGATCTTGGTTAAATGACTGAGTTCTGCACCCTTGTAGAAAAGGTAATTTAATGTTTTCTTTTTCAGGCTCCTCCATTGCCATCCTCCTCATCTTGACATTTTTTCATGGACATTAAATGAAAACTTTTCTGATATTCAGGAAGTGACCCAGTTCTGCACCACTGATTTTTGTAGCTATCCCGTAAGGCTGCTGGCTGAAAGCTGTGTCTATGCAACCTTCCAAGTGCGGAGTGTCAACCAACTGGACAGGAGAGAGCACTGCCTCCTACTCCAGAACTCAAAACAAATAAAGCTCATCCAGCTGTACTTCAAAAAAATAATTCCATGTTTTGTATATATCTGACAAAACTGGCAACATTATACAGACTACTGACTTGAAGACCACCTCTTTTGTATTTCTCTGTTTCTGGGCTGATGAGTTGGTTTCAACCATTTTTTCCCCTTCAGAATTTCCCTTGGAAAAAGTACTAGCTTAGCTGGTCATTTCTTTGTAAGGTAGTTAGAAATTTTAAGTCTTTCTTTGGGCAACTTTTTTTTTTTTTTTTTTTTTTAATGTGAAGAGTTAGGTGATATAAATTTTTTACTGCTTTTATGTTTTTCTGTCTTGTTTTGAAACCATGACGGTTACACTTTTGGTTCCTAAATAAAATTTAAAACAATTAACAGCCAAGTCACAAAGATAAATGGGTTGCACATAGACTAAGGAATAAACTTCAGATTTGTGATTTTTGTTTCTAATCTTGATGTAAATTTACACTATTTATAAATACATATTTATTGCTTGAAAATATTTGTGAATGGAATGCTGTTATTTTTTCCAGATTACCTGCCATTGAAATTTTAAGGAGTTCTGTAATTTCAAACACTACTCCTATTACATTTTCTATATGTAAATAAAACTGCTTAGCATTGTACAGAAACTTTTATTAAAATTGTTTAATGTTTAAAGTTTTTCTATTGTTTGAGTTTTAAAAAGATTTTATGTACAGTGCCCAGTTTTTGTTCTTTTTTTGAATCTGATTATATATATTTTATATATACTCTTGTGCTTGTGTATATATATAATATATATAGAAATTCGAATATAAATATGTGTATAAAGATTTAGAGACTAAATTTTTCTCGGTTTAAGTTTTACATCTATGGTAGATTTGAGGTGTCTACTGTAAAGTATTGCTTACAAAAGTATGATTATTTTTAAAGAAATATATGGTATGTATCCTCAAGACATAAAATGACCTTCAGACTGGTTTATTGTTAAATTGCACTTTTTGCAATAACAGACCAATAAATAGTTGCTGCCAAAACATAGTAGTAGAAAATAAGTAATGGCTAAACTTTAAAGCTCTTCGAGAAAATGCCGGGTTTGACAGGAAGTTTGGCACTAGTTTCAGAGGAGAACTGAAAAAGGCGAATTTGAGTTCGGGTGGGGATGGTATCTAGAATTCAACCAAATTGCAACTTATATATTACAATATGTTCTATTAACAGTTTAAGAAGTTAAGACTGAATCACCTTGGTGTCATTGCTGACCCAGAAAAAGGACGTTGTTTTGTGGTATTCTATTGTATTTTCACATACTTTGTAATACAAATTCACTGGTAAATTTTTGAAGCACTAGGTTTATTTAGGACAAGTTTATAATATATCATTGTAACAGTTTGCAGTTTTAATTATGGTATTTATTTTAAGTTGCTCCTTTCTCATTAGCTTCTTGAAAATGCATTAAATCTAAATTTCAAAATTGATAGCTTTCTTATCGATCAGAGTTGACTGATGCAGAAGGTTCTGCATCAAACGATTTCTCATAATTTCTCATTAGTGGGGTATGTTAGTGATTGCATTGTTAAATTTTTTGTAATCAATGTGAAGTGTTAAAGGCACAGAGCATGCTAATAGTTTATTTTGAACAAAAAGGATTGCCTCTTACCTTTGTAGCTTCAAATGAAGGGTGTTTTAATGAAGAATCAGTACAGCTTGTCTAATGCTGTTACAACAGTTTAGTTATAAATGACTTTTTTGCTAGTTCATACAACAGGTGGACAAAAGGGTATAGAGATTCGAGAAAAGTATAACAAATGCTCTTTCCAGCAAAATTATCAGCTAGCAGTTAGGAAGCCAGTATTTACAGTTCTGTAAAGATGTAAGTCTCAGCTCTTGATAACAAACTCTACAAATCATAATTTTTTACTTATGTATTTTATGCAGTCATAAATATTGTAATCTTGACAAACCATGCTGCAACTGAAAAGCTACTCCTTTACAGTAGTCTTAAACCCAAATAAAAGCAAGATAACTTACCTCAACTAATGGTAAACAAACAGTCCTCATTTCTCAGTGCTATAACAGAGTATTGCTAACTAGGGAAAGAGCTATTGCGTGCTAATCAAAAGGGCTTTGTACCTTTCCTCCCCTTTGCAAAAGAGGATATACCATTACCAAGGGAAAAAAAAAATAAAATCATATTTCACCAATGAACAGGTAGACCAAATCAGTAGAGCATCAGGCAGTATTGCTCACTCTGCATGAAGGTTTTGTCATGGATTTGAATTGCTGCAGGGCTTTAATATTTTGCAGTTTTAATACTTCTTAATTACACTATGCTCCTAAACTATGGACAGTTTTGATCTATAAGCTGCTATGATTTAGAATGCTTTTGTTTCATTTTATTAAAAAAAAAAAAGCACAAGTTAATATTTTATCAATTGTAGTTATTGTGAAGCAGTTCTGCTTCTTAAATTATGACACACATGATGCACGCGAAGCATTTGTAATCTCTGGATATTTCCAGCAGTTTGGGGGTGGGAGGGGAGGGGAAGGGAGGTGGGATTCCTAAGCAAAATGGAGGGGAATAACTCACCCTAACTCACCTCTTCAGTGAACCTTAGGCTGTTGTCCATGAGCTCCACAGCTGAGCCTTAACTGCAGGTGAACCTGATTTGCTTATAGCCACAAATTACTGCAGCAGGCAAATTAAAGATCAAAATATAAAAGGATGGACGTGGCCAAAGATGTGACACTTGTTGAATTTTGGAAGGTACAAGACTAACAGAAGAGAGGCATTATTAAGATGTGGTTAAAACTGATGAGATAAAAATGGGTGTTTATACACACACACACAAACAAAAAGTAATGAAAAGTTGAATTAAGAGGGGAATTAGAAATAAATAGCAACATTTGCTACACAACTCCAGATCTGAAGTATGTTCTGGGGTAGCTTGACAAAAAAGAGATCCCGTATATGGGGAGGAAGGGATAGTCGCATCTTTCTGAGCTTCATTTAAGTTCCTCCACAAATACATTCAACAGAGCATTTGATTTTTAAGTTTTCCTTCAGATAAGCAATTTGGGATTAGCATCTCAGCTTTTCTGGAGAAGTGAAGTCTACAGGTTTCCATTTCAGGAGGGATGTTGGTAGCTATGTAAGTGAGACCAGTGGTGACAGGGCTTCTGAAAAGCCCCTGAATTTATATGGCAGGTAACTTGGTGATCCCAAAGATAAGGTATTGTGAATCTGTACCTTTCTACGTGGAGGAAGGATTTTGGAAGTTGTGCTAAAATGGTTGCTTTACTGAAATTAGTGCAGGTTACTTCATTTCGGTATGGTATAGGATAGATTCGTGGAACAGAGGTGGGTGAGGACTGGGGACTCCCCAGGTGATGACGTCCAGTCAGAGGAAAAGGTAGCTGATTAAGGAGGTGGAAGATGCAAGGATTCAAACGGGATGTTTTGGAAGAGAGTGCTCAAGTACAAATTTTATTTGGCATGGGGGACTAACAAGAGGGCTTTTAGGCCCAAGCACACATAGGTCAGCGCCATTTTGTCTGGATCTGTAGCAAAGGGCCAAGGCCCATCAATCCAACGACAGGGATGGTGCCAGCAGACAAATCTACGAGGTGGGGAAGCCTCGTCTCTTCCACGGCCACGTTATACAGGGTGGGAACCAGGCGGAGGAGGAGCTCAGAGGGTGGATGTTCACTTCTGGGGGAGGCTGATGGCAACCAGCGTTGGCTGCCTGGGTTGTGGCCACACTGACAGGAAGGAGAACAGCAGGTGATGATGCCCAGACACGTCCAAGCTGAAGCTCAGGTTCAAGCAAGCTCAGTGCAGGGCTTGCTACCTGCAGGGCCCCGCGGAGGAAGGCACGGGGTGCCAGGGAGGAGGCTGCAAGCAAGGCAGCAATGTGGGCATGAGGCCCACTGGGGCCCTGGGCAGCCTCATTTCGAGGAAGTGTGACACTTTTACCTAGAAGTTGGGGAACAAATGTGTCCTACACGTTTGGTAACTAGGGAGAGGGTGGTTTTTTTTTTTTGAGGGTGGCTTTTTGGGGGATCAGGTCTCCTTGTCAATGCCAGCAGCTACGTGCAAAGCTGCAGAAGCAGCAGGTGGAGAGGGAAAGCAGCCTCCCCGCTGCACCGGGGGCCGAGCAGATGCTGTGGGGGGTTACACAGGGTGCAGCACCGCTGAGTGAGGTTCACCAGGCCTAAACAAGGGACACGGGGACAACAACTGATCCAGCAGGAGCTTTGGCCCTGGCTTCGGGGTGGTATCACTATGCTGGAAGAAGTGAAGCGGGTGTAGGCAGCCTTGCTGCGGAGCAGGCCGGGCTCCCCCACTGCTGTGGGGATGGGGATGGGGCTGTGGGGGTTGTTACGAGGAGATCGACCGTTTAATGGTCCAAAAAGAACAGGTATGGGTGAGGTGCGTGCATCTCTGTTTACTTTGGGAAGCCATAAAGCAGGGAAAAGTCACCTCTTCGTGATGAGAGCAGGAAGGGCTCGGCTTCCAGCATCACGGTATGACAGCAATGGCAGCGGTTTGCAGGTAGCTGCTGGTCTGCTGATGCCGGGGGCCTCATTAAGGCCTTAAAACACAACTGCTGCTGCCCCTCCTAGGGTACAGTAGGGTGTTGGGTATGTGCAGACAGAGCAAGTGTGGGGAGGGTGGAGGTAGGATGGAGATGGGTCTGGTTTTAGAGCCTGCTGCCTCCCCCCGGTCCTTCTCTGAGCTCCTGAAGGACAGTGGTTCCTCTCTGGCGGAGGGCAGCGTGATCAGGTTTTTGACCTGATCTTTCCCAAAAGTCACACCCGTCCCA